CTTAACTGCATGAAAGGGGATAAAAGGTTTCTTATCGCTCTTGATATGGTCTGATTAGAAGCTATAACCAGATCTGTGGCTAGTTTCTATTGATTTAGAAAAGGCCAGAAATCGATTTAAGTGTTACTAAACCCAGGATTCTGCATTCACTATATCTGGTCTCCCACAGTACACAGAACCTGGAAATGCAATTATTTTAGTAAATATAAACTTCTAAATACCTTTTCTTAGCAACATACAGCAGTCTTCTGTCAGTGTCCAGCTGATGACTGATTAAAGCTTGTAGGAGGAGTTTTCATTCTGCTCTAGGAGGATGCAGGACCCCGACCTCTGTCTGGACAGTGCTGTTTGGCTCTTTGCTGATCACATGCACTCTCCCAAGAAAAAAAAAAAACCTCTCTATACACACACACCGTAAACTGAGCATGTGTAGAGTGACTCCTAGAGCTCTGTACTATCAGTATATGGATTGAGGACAGGGGGAGGATCAGAGAAGACAGGATCAAACAACCTTTTTACACAATATGGATGATTAACCCCTTAGGTTCCACAGTGAGTATAACAAGCATGCTTTACTGCATATCCAGACTGATTTTACTGTTGTGTGTTTAGTAACACATTAATGCAAGAGAGCTAGTTTTTTCATCTTTAGGGACTCTAAGGTGAAATAGGGTTTGGAGTATTCCAAAAATCCTGGACCAGAACACAAGGGATATTTTTTAAGTTTCCTGGAGTTGGGATTTAAAGCTAAACTCCAGGCAGATAGAAGACCCAAATTAATGAAATTTAGTAATAATAATCTACCTTCAGTGAAGTATGTCCCATGTCCAATTGGCTGCTGCACTGTGTAGAAATCCCACTCCCCGCAGTACTGATCTTCCGGTGCTGCTGGGGGGTCACATCAGCTACTGTGAGTGTGAAAGAGTAGCACTGCTCGCCTTCTTCATTCATAGAACGTGTACTATTCTTTCCCAGAATGTAAAGCACTGTATGAATGGAGGACAGGAGGATGAATGAAAGGATCCACCACCTCTCATCACAGGACATTTTTGTATTCTGGGAAAATATACCAGAATTTTATGAATTAATGAGGTCATATTAGCTTCTCATAGCACCTTGTGCACTACTACTTGGTCAGGTCAGCACTGTAGGCCAATCAGACTTTATTGCTGAGGGGTGACGATGTGGAGGTGGTGATTCATTCATTCATTCATTCATTGTCAACACATTTCTGGTGGTGTGAATGTAGTTAAAAGCCTTGCGTCAAGTTGATGGAACCTGTGTGATATTGTCATTGTTAGTATGGACGTGTGCGACAAATTCACGCCGTTTTTTATTTGTAACACTTTTTTTGTCCTTCGCTGTTGTTGCTATAAGTTCATAAAAGGATCCCACCATGTCCGTGATCAGGAACGTAGAGGTAATTAAGGCCTCTTCCACACCGGGGTAAATTGTTGTTGTGTGTAAGTATTTTGTTGCAGACAAAATTCTGAACCAGTGGCAAGTTGCGTCATTTGTCGCACGACTGCGAAACTGATGAGTATCTATGCCTCTATTTTTGCATTTCACACAGATCTTTAAAGTTGTGTGTCCGGTGGCAGATTTACATTGGGCCAGGCTAGCCATCCACCCAAGGATCCCAGCAGATCCAGTGCCTGCCTGTACACAGTTTACCACATTGCATAATGTAACAGGCCTTGGCGAAGTTCCCCCTCACTGACCGCACATCATTAGGTACCTATAAGAGGCATCTCCCAACCTCTCCTCCCACTTCATTACATTATGCTATGGTGTGTACAGTGGATATAAAAAGTCTACACACCCCTGTTAAAATGTCAGGTTTCTGTGATGTAAAACAATGAGACAAAAGATAAATCATTTCAGAAGTTTTTCTGCCTTTAATGTAACTATATTTGAAATATATTTTAAAAGTTTTCTTCCCAAATATATTGACATATAGTTGAAATACTACAATTTTGGCCATATTCTATATACATATATATCATGTTGAAATTTGTTTTTTATATATTACAAAAATATATGAAAAATATTTTTAAATATATATTTTTTTAAATATATTCCGCAGATTTTTTTCTTAACATGTATATATAGAAAAAAAAAGTAATTTTAACATATATTTTTACATATATTTGTAAATGTATTCCGAAAATGTAGATTTAAATGTATTTTTAAAGACATACAGTATATTTTGAAAATGTACTTTTAAAAATATTTTTCATATATTTTGTAATAAAAACGCATTTCAACATACAGAATATATCTGTATATATAATATTGAGTATGGCCAAAATTGTAGTATTTCAAAGGGGCGGACTGACAACTCATGGGGCCCCTGGGTAATAGGGGATCATGGGGCCCCTGTGTCCTTGCCCAAACTCAAAAAAGCCTATGAAAAAGGTACCAGGGGCATCTCATGGGGCCCCCTACTGACCCTGGGCGTTTCTAAATGGTCAGTCTGCCCCGATTTCAAATATATGTCAATATATTTGGGAAGAATATTTTTAAAATATGTTTAAAATATATTTTTCTTCCATGCGGGTAAACTGTACAATTCAGTTGAACAACAAACTAAAATCTTTTAGGTGAAGGGAAGTAAAAATAAAAAACTAAATATGGTTGCATAAGTGAGCACACCCTTAAACTAATACTTTTGTTGAAGCATCTTTTGATATGATTCCAGCACTCAGTGCTTTTGGGTATGAGTCTATCAGCATGGCACATCTTGACTTGGCAATATTTGCCCACTCTTCCTTGCAAAAACACTCCAAATCTGTCAGATTGTGAGGACATCTCCTGTGCACAGCCCTCTTCAGATCACCCCACAGATTTTCCATCGGATTCAGGTCTGGGCTCTGGATGGGCCATTCCAAATCTTTAATCCACTTCTGGTGAAGCCATTCCTTTGTTGATTTGGATGTATGCTTTGGGTTGTTGTCATACTGAAAGATGAAGCTCCTCTTCATGTTCACCTTTCTAGCAGAAGCCTGAAGGTTTTGTGCCAATATTGACTGGTATTTGGAACTGTTCATAATTCCCTCTACCTTGACTAAGGCCCCAGATCCAGCTAAAGAAAAACAGCCCAAAGCACTATGCTGCCACCACCATGCTTCACTGTGGGTATGGTGTTCTTTTGGTGATGTGCAGTTTTGTTTTTGCGCCAAACATATCTTTTGGAATTTTGCCCAAATAGTTCAACCTTGGTTTCATTACACCATAAAACCTTTTCCCACATGCTTTTTGGGAGACTTTAGATGTGTTTTTTGCAAAATTTAGCCGGGCTTGGATGTTTTTCTTTGTAAGAAAAGGCTTCCATCTTGCCACTCTGCTCCATATCCCAGACATATGAAGAATACAGGAGATTGTTGTCACATGTACCACACAGCCAGTACTTACCAGATATTCCTGCAGCTCCTTAATGTTGCTGTAGGCCTCTTGGCAGCTTCCCAGACCAGTTTTATTCTCATCTTTTCACCAAGTTTGGAGGGACGTCCAGTTCATGGTAATGTCACTGTTGTGCCATATTTTCTCCACTTGATGACTGTCTTCACTGTATTTCATGGTATATCTAATGCCTTGGAAATTCTTTTGTACCCTTCTCCTTACTGATACCTTTTAACCAATGAGATCCCTCTGATTTGGAAGCTCTCTGCGGACCATGGCTTTTGCTGTAGGATGCGACTAAGAAAATGTCAGGAAAGACCTACTAGAACAGCTGAACTTTATTTGGGGTTAATCAGAGGCACTTTATGTGATGGCAGGTGTGTACTGACTCCTATTTAACATGATTTTGAATGTGATTGCTTAATTCAGAACACAGCTACATCCCCAGTTATAAGAGAGTGTGGTTGCATAAGTGTACACATTGTTTTAGTTTTATATGTTTACCCCCCCCCCCCAAAAAAAAAAAAAATCAGTTTGTTTTTCAATTGAGTTGTGCAGTTTATAAGTCACATTAAAGGTGGAAAAAGTTCTGAAATTATTTATCTTTGTCTAATTATTTATATCACGGAAACCTGACATTTTAACAGGGGTGTGTAGACTTTTTATATCCACTGTATGTGCAAATGACTGGCACCAAGGTGAGGAGGTAGTGGAGGAAGCAGAGATATGGGAAGATTTGGTGGGGAAGAAGGTGCCCACTCTGCTGATATTATCTGAGGGAGCCCATAGTTAACTTAGACCTTTAAAGTAGTTGTTAACCTCAGACATGAAATATTAAACAAGCTTAGTGTGAACTCCATATAGAGCACTAAGTGTCATTTCTGTCTCCTGTCTCCTTCCTCTGCTATCTGTATGAGTCACTTCTGACATGTTTTTCCTGACACCAAGAGGAAAAAAAAAGTAGCTAGGGGAGGAAGTTCCAGCACACAGCCTGTGATTGACACCCTCAGCTCTGTTCCTGGGTGGTGTGTGTGTGTGTGTGTGTGTGTGTGTGTGTGTGTGTGTGTGTGTGTGTGTGTGTGTGTGTGTGTGTGTGTGTGTGTGTGTGTGTGTGTGTGCGTGCGTGCGTGCGTGCGTGCGCTCTTCCCTTCATTCAGCTCCCACTGAGCTCTCCAGAGTGTAACTTCAGCTCCCCTTGCTTTCTGAAAGCTCAGACAAACTAGATAAATGATGCACTTTGGCTGTAGAGAAGGGAGGACTGTCGATAAACAGATACAACGTATGTAGGGTGATTTGTTTCATCGCTGTGCATCCCATGAGGCCAGTCACTTCACTGGGTACATGTGAGGCCTTTTTTGCCCCTTCAGCTGCTGAGCAGAGTGGAGGGTTACCAAAGGAATGGTGAGTAAGAACAACAAGGGGAGGGGGGTAAAAGTATAAATCTCCATCAAAGTAAAACTTTGCCATCCTGTGCCCGGTGACATGCTTGGAACGTGTAACACCGGTATGAGGAGACTGTACACAATGTAACCTTCATTATAATACCGGCATATGCATGGTTGCATGTGTGCTCCATGTTGACATCCACGTCATTGTTTTCCTGATGACTGCCTGTCATGTACTTTGTGGTTGAGATTACTGAGAGTCATTTTCTGTCTTCCCTTTTAGTTCCCGTATGCTGCACCCTCTCCACAGGAGCCAGTGAAAACACTGCGCAGTCTGATCAACATCCGCAAGGACACGCTGCGTTTTTAGTAAGGTGACTGGACAATAAATTCTAGTGTGCAAAGGTGTATGTGTATGGAAGAATAAATCCCCTCTAACTTTGGGTGTGCTGAGTGTGTGGATGTTGATGTGTTATGTAAAACTATTAGTTTTATTTTTTTTACATTTTAGAATGGGGTGCCTCGAGATTTGTGCTGAATTTTTAAGGAAGCTTTGACTGAGAAATTTATTTATTTTTCAACTTTTTATAGCATTTTTCACATTATATAATTTGACTGAGAAACACTGGTCTAGAGCTGGGGGTGTTGAAGCAGCTCCAGAGTATACCTTGGGGGATGTTGAAGCAGCTATGGAGTGTGAGCTGGGGGTGTTGGAGAAGCTCTAGATCCTGAGCTGTAGGTTTTGGAGAAGCTTCTGAGCCTGAGGTGGGGGTGTAGAAGCAGCTCCAGAGCCTACCTTGGCGGTGTTGGAGCAGCTATGGAGTCTGAGCTGGGGGTGTTGTAGAAGCTCTAGAGCTTGAGTTTGGGGGGTGTAGGAGCAGCTCTAGAACCTGAGCTGAAGGTGCTGGAGCAGCTCTAGAGCTTGACATTGGGGTGTTGGACCAGCTCTAGAGTCTGAGCTGGAGGTCATGTAGCAGCTCTAGAGCCTGAGCTGGATACTTTGACTGAGAAAAGGTTGAGAAACACTGGTCTAGAACTGGGGGTGTCGAAGCAGCTCCAGAGCCTACTTTGGGGGTGTTAGAGCAGCTATGGGGTCTGAGCTGGGGGTATTGGAGAAGCTCTAGAGCCTGAGGTGGGGGTGTTGGAGCAGTTCTAGACCCCGGGCTAGAGGTGTTGGCACAGCTCTAAACCCCGCGCTAGAGGTGTTGGAGCAGCTCTAGACCCCGCGCTAGAGGTGTTGGAGCAGCTCTAAACCCCGTGCTAGAGGTGTTGGAGCAGCTGTAGACCCCAGGCTAGAGGTGTTGGAGCAGCTCTAAACCCCGCACTAGAGGTGTTGGAGCAGCTCTAGAGCCTGGGATGTGGATATTGGAGAATCTCTAGAGCCTGAGCTGGAGGCGTAGAACTGTTTCTTCTTCAATCAGGCACTCCTGCTCCTTTCATTGGTATGCTCTTCATAACATGTTTTCCTGTTTGAATAGTATTGTGTGTGAATAGCAGGCCTAGTAACATGGCATCATTTCAGGTGTACAGAAGAATTGAAGGCCAGCAGCGTGGAGGGCAGCCGTCCCAAAGTACATTATAATGTGGAATTTACATTTGATACCGACGCACGAGTGGCAATTACTATCTATTACCAAGCAACTGAAGAGTTCCAAGGGGGAATTGCCAGGTGAATATTCGATGACTGAAGCTGAGTGGAAATGAGGGGTACCGGTTATAAAGAAATAATGATAGGCAAGCTCTCACTGGCTTCTGATTGCTGATGTTTATTCTTGCAGAAGGAACCAGGCACTGCTAGGAATTAATCTTCCCCAAATTATAATTTTTTTTTCTTCTTTTTATTGGACCCCAGGAGCGTTTAGTAATGTGCTAGCACGCACAGCATATTCGCATATTTTGCCAAATTTTTCCTGGCCGGTTGTTCTTTCCAGTGCTGCATGTCCTCTTCTGCTGGTCTCCATTAAGATTCCTCAGCCTCTTGGTTGGCTTTGCCGCAATAACATCACTCCCGTGCATGCACCTGGGCATCGCGTGCAGAGCCATGCTGTAAATGTATGCTGTGCTGCGCATGCATGGCTCAGTGTGCACAAATGTTGACAAGCAGGAAGAAGAGTTTATAATTGAGGAAACCAATAAGATCTCTCCCTTAAAAAAACACTACCTGCCAGTGTTTTTTTTTTTTTTTTTATCTTGTTAATTTAAAGGTAAAGCCCCCGCCATCAGGAAATAAAAAGGATACGCTCATCAATTTAACCTCGTAGGCTAAACTAGAGAAATCACTCGATTCTGCAGTGTTGGGTATTGTATTCTGACAGCTGGCACCTGCAATACTTGAACAATGACCCCATCTGATTATGCAGCTTCTGTTTGTCCAAGAATTTTTTGTCTAGCTCCTTTGACAGAAGACAATTGAAAAATCATCCTTTTTTAAGTTGGGTGGTGTTGACAGAGCCATCCATAGAACGTATTCCAGCCGGAATCGGACAATTATTGATCTGTCTATGGCCAACTTAAAGCACAACTCTGGGCAGCTAAAAAATGATCCCTTGCTGTGGGGCTGGACCTGCACCGCAAAGGTTAAGCGCTCATTTAGGTCTAGGGAAAATATAACTACTGCTAGACTGGACCCTGCAGCTTCTTCTCCCCCATTGCTCCAGTGGTCTATGATCCTGACATCATCAAGGCCAGGGGTCTCCAAACTTTCTAAATGAAGGGCCAGTATACAGTCCTTTTGAACTTTAGGAGGGCCGAACTGTGGCCAGCAGAAGTAGAAAATGTTGGTGTCAGTGGGAGTTGACAGTGTTCCATTCTTTTAGTGTCAGTGGGAGAAATAGTGTCTCATCAATGGTGACCGTTGGAGAAATAGTGCCCCATTTGGTGTCTGTGGGAGGGATAGTGCCCCATTGTTGGTGTCTGTGGGTGGAATAGTGCCCCATCATTGGTGTCTGTGGGAGGAATAGTGTCCAATCATTGGTGTCAGTGGGTGGAATAGTGTCCAATCATTGGTGTCTGTGGGAGGAATCGTGCCCCATCATTGGTGTCTGTGGGAGGAATAGTGTCCAATCATTGGTGTCTGTGGGAGGAATAGTGTCCAATCATTGGTGTCTGTGGGAGGAATAGTGTCCAATCATTGGTGTCTGTGGGAGGAATAGTGCCCCATCATTGGTGTCTGTGGGAGGAATAGTGCCCTATCGTTGGTGTCTGTGGGAGGAATAGTGCCCCATCGTTGGTGTCTGTGGGAGGAATAGTGCCCTATCGTTGGTGTCTGTGGGAGGAATAGTGCCCCATCGTTGGTGTCTGTGGGAGGAATAGTGCCCCATCGTTGGTGTCTGTGGGAGGAATAGTGCCCCATCGTTGGTGTCTGTGGGAGGAATAGTGCCCCATCGTTGGTGTCTGTGGGAGGAATGGTGCCCCATCGTTGGTGTCTGTGGGAGGAATGGTGCCCCATCGTTGGTGTCTGTGGGAGGAATGGTGCCCCATCGTTGGTGTCTGTGGGAGGAATGGTGCCCCATCGTTGGTGTCTGTGGGAGGAATGGTGCCCCATCGTTGGTGTCTGTGGGAGGAATGGTGCCCCATCGTTGGTGTCTGTGGGAGGAATGGTGCCCCATCGTTGGTGTCTGTGGGAGGAATGGTGCCCCATCGTTGGTGTCTGTGGGAGGAATGGTGCCCATCGTTGGTGTCTGGTGGGAGGAATGGTGCCCCATCGTTGGTGTCTGTGGGAGGAATGGTGCCCCATCGTTGGTGTCTGTGGGAGGAATGGTGCCCCATCGTTGGTGTCTGTGGGAGGAATGGTGCCCCATCGTTGGTGTCTGTGGGAGGAATGGTGCCCTATCGTTGGTGTCGGTGGGGGATTGTGCCCCCTTGTTGGTGTCGGTGGGAGGAATAGTGCCCCATGGTTGGCAGGAAACTATGCCCCACTGTTGCTGACAGTGGGGGAATAATAGCCCAAGGGCCGGATAAAAGCAAACAAAGCGCCACAGTTTGGAGACCACTGATCAACACCAAAACAGAGTCCACAGCCTGTGATGACACCAAGGGACAGTCCACTACTTGAGCGTGAGGGGAACGCCGTTTCCTGCAGGAGCAGAATATCAGGTAAGTATACCTGTTTCTCCTCTCCCTTAGACAGACAGAATGAGCTAATAACTCTGGCAGTTCCGGCACAGCCACATGTAATTTTTATATTTAAAATTTTCCCAGGGTTGGGCATTTATGCGGTTGCTTGCTGTCTTTTTTTACACCAGGGACAACCTGGCAGTTTTCTTGCGGAATGTTATACAAAGATCAAAAAAATAAGAAGTTGTTCTGGATATTGTGAATATTGAGGTTATTAAATAAGGCACAAAATTAATATATTTATAGTTACCCTGAAATAATTTCAGTCTGTGTCTGGCTGCGAGCGCAGACTATTGACAGACCGCTGCCTGCCTCCAGTCTGGGGAGCATGTGGTTGGAACAATTGCTGGTGGTTTAGACATAGCTGCAGAGGTGCGTTTAGCTCCTTAGAGATACGTTGAGAAATATGCATTTGGGTCAGGCCTTGCAGGTAAGCACGGTAGCTGCTAGATACATAGATTAATCCTTGTATAGGGTCATTTTCTATCTGTGTGGTTATATATAGACCGTGGAGATATATATATATATATATATATATATATATATATATATATATATATATATTATTTTTTTTTTTTTTTTTTTTTTCAGCCTTGGCCTCTTTCTGCTGAAACAATTGTTAACAGTGCTATTTCTCCCATCAGTTACATTCCTAAGGCTAGCAACCTGCAGTCAGAAACTGTGTACTTCAAGAAAGGTGTCAGCCAACAATTTTGCCTTCCATCACATACTGTAGACCCATCTGAATGGAGGGAGGAGGAGGTAAGAGAAAGACTTTGTTACATTTGTGTGTTTTACGTACATATTAAAATTGTTCTCCTTTTTTTAGAGCGGTATTTAAACCCAAAGGCAACCATTTTTAATATATCACATGTTATCAATTTTTAGATGTGATGGTTACATTTGTTTTCTTTTCAAAGTGTTACTAAACACACAGCAGTACAATCAGTCTGTATATGCAGTAAAGCATGCTTGCTATGGACCCTAAGGGGTTAATCCTCTGCAAGAAGGCTGTTTGACCCATTCTTCTCTGCCCCTCCTCTTGTTGAAATGACCACCTGATACAGACTGAATCCGTAGTCACATGCTCAATTTAGTGTGTATTGCTAGAGAGGTTTTTTTTTTTTTTTTTTTTTTTTCTTTTTTTCTTGGGTGAGTGCATGTGATCAGCACAGGGCCAATCAGCACTGTCAAGACTGAGGCCAGGGGTTTCACATCCTCTTAGAGCAGAAAGAAAACTCCTCTTATAAGCTATAACCAGTGCTCTGCTGAAGTCACAAGACTGCTCTACCTGATGATGATAAGAAGTATTTTATCAGTTTATATTTACTAAACTAATTGAATTTCCATGTTCTGTGTACTGTGGGAGACCAGATATAGTGAATGCAGGGTCCTGGGTTTAGTATCACTTTAAGTCTTTCTTTCAATTTTACTTGGTGATCCTGCCAGTAAGTCTGTTGTTTTTCAACAGAACAAGTTGTCCTGCAGATGTGACAGTTAGAGGGTTGAGACAAACCATTTACCACTGACAAAGGTGCTTACAATGATCAGCTTTTATTTATTTATAAAAAGAAAAAACTTTACCCCAAAAGGAAAAAAACTATAAAGTATTAGCTGGAGTTTGGCTTCCATTTGTTAGTGTGTCTAAATCTGCTAGTACATCTAACACTCCCCTCCCCACCTGACTGACAATGCTGCGGTCCAGTGGTTCCCCCTGTGCACCTTCATCCAGAGTGGAGGCACGCTAATATAGGAGGTGTGTCAGATTACAAGTTGAAAACGGGGAAAAAAAACTTTAAAAAAAAAAACTAACAGCCACCACATCTAATGATTGGCTAGCTGCAATATATTATATTTATATAATTTTTTGATTTAATACTGCTTTAAAGTAGAGTTCCAGCCGTTTTTGTGTTTATTAAAAGGCAGCAGCTACAAAAACTGTAGCTGCTGACTTTTAATAAACACACTTATCTGTCCCGGAGTCCAGCGATGTGCTCACCCGCGCCGTCCCCCTTCTCTCCTTCTCTCCACAGGGCTGGCATCTCAGCTGTAGGCCCCAGGCTGTGACAGCTTGCAGCTTCACAGCCTGATGCCCACTGCGCATGCGTGAGTCGTGCTTGCCTCCTAATTGGTCCAGCAGTCTCCTGGGACCTGTGAAAGTTACCAGGAGACTGCGGGAGGGAGGAGGGGGCCAAACGTCTGGGTCACTTCGTCGCAGCAAACTCGGCCGGAAGTGGGAGCGGGTACTTGTCAAAACCAGGTACCCACTCCCTCCCAAAAAGGTGCCAAATATGGCAGTGGAGGGGGGGAGGAGGCAAATGAGCAGAGCTTCCACTTTGGCGTGGAACTCCGCTTTAACTCTAGCATAAACTAAATTTCCCAGCTGGTCTCATATCCCTCGTGGGAGAAAAATATTTTTTTTATATATATATTTTAAAAATATTCTTCCCAAGTATATTGACATATATTTGAAATACTACAATTTTTGACCGTATTTAATATATTTAAATAAAAAAAGTGTGTGTGTGTGTGTTGAAATGTGTGTTTTTTTTTTTTTTTTTATATCAAAAAATATATGAAAAATATTTTTAGAAAAACATTTTCAAATAATATATCTTTCAACATACACTGAAGAATATATATATATATAAAAAAAAAAAAAACGATATATATATTTTTAAATATATGCCTTTAGAAAATATATTTACATTTAATTATTTTAAAATATATTAGCATAGACCAATATATTGTAAATATATGTCATATAATTTTTTTTTATTATATTGGAAATATATTTCTCTTTCATGTGGGATAGCAAAGGTGGCATTATTATATTTTTTTTTAATATATAATAATAATAATTTAAATTTGCAGTTTTCTTTTATTTTACCTGTGGTACTGCCAGGAAGGTTTTTTTTGTTTTTTTTGTTTTTTTTTCAAGCAAGACTACAATTTGCCATTGAACAGACCAGGCCTTCTTGCACAATGTGCAGTGTTTTTTTTTTATAGGCCTGCTTCATATGGGTGATTATTTGCGTACATCGGATTCCAGCAACAAGAATCAATGGATTCTTGCAGCTGGCATGACATGTATGCAAACAGTGGCGGACAACCAGCCTTTATAAAACATTGACAGGCTAAGAGGAGCTGTTGCTGTTCACCTGTATCTGGGCAAATTTGTCTCCTCCTAAGTTTGCACACATTTTTGACCACTACTACATGCTATTTTCCTTCAGTTGCAAGATGTTTTTGGGTTCCCTTGTGTGAACTGCCAGTTTTAACTCCCACCCCTTTCTCCTACAACATTTCAGTGGAATTCAATTTATGCCTAGGCCAATCCATAATCCTCCACTTCTACCTTTTTACGCAGTCCTTGATTTGTTAGTGTGACCCATTTCTGATCCAGCTTCATCTTTTGAAACAAATGGCCTCACATTCTTAACAAGCACACTTTGCTATGATGCAGAATTCTCTCCTGATTACTGATCGCTGTCCAAGCCCTGAAGCAGTTAATCATACCCCAAGTCATAACATCATAACATTTTCACCAACATGCTTTACAGTTGGTATGAGTTTCTTCTGAAATGCTGCCTTTTGTGCCAAACATGTCTACTGTTACTGTGGCCAAACAACTCTTCAGTTCACTGCACATTGTTCCAGAAGGCTTTGTCTGTTCCATGGCAAACTGCATCAGTGTGAACCTAGCATAAAACAGAACTACGCTGCATCCGAGCACCACAAACCAAAAACTCTATTTTAACTGCTTCCTGTCTGCCCTATAGCAGAAGTACGGGTACGCAAAATATATATATATATATTCTACTGTGTGTGTGTGTATATATATATATATATATATTGTGTATATTCTACTGTTGTTTTTGGATAGCGCACTTCTCACGCTGGTTACATTGGTGCAATTTCTATCCAATTGTAGATGCATGCACTTTGACACCAACTGGAGACTTCTTTGAGCATCAGTCAGTTAGCTGTTAGGCTAAATTTGCTGGGCTGGTCAGTCCAGGACAAATTCGTCATTTTAAATCTACACTACATTTAGATGAATATTTATTTATTAATTACAGATACTTATATAGTGCCTTAAATTTACGCAGCGCTTTACATCTATATTATATATTCACATCAGCCCCTAACCCTCAAAGGGTGTACAATCTAAGGTCCCTAACTCACATTCATACATGCACACACTAGGGCCAATTTAGACAGGAGCCAAATAACAGCCGGCCAGCATGTCTTTTGGAGTGTGGGAGGAAACCACACAGGCACAAGGAGAACATGCAAACACCAGGCAGGTGGTGCGTGGTTGGGATTTCGAACCAACAACCCTAGTACTGCCATTTAGCCACTGTGCTGCCCCGTATACTTACTGTATATAGAACGATTGAGTCCTGATTCACACTGACGCAGATTAGATGCGATCTGAAAGGCATAGATTTGCATATCACCTGAAAATACATTGTTTTCTCTGAAGGCCATTCACAACTATGCAATGTAATTTTGATCTGGTTAAAAAAGGGTCCTGTGCTAGTTTAGTGCAGGTGTGGTGTGAATGTTCTCTCCAGCTGTGAAATCGCATTAAATTTGCACCTGTCAAAACACAAATTGCACTGTGAAATTGCATCAATTTGCACGGGATCAGTGTGAACCAAGCCTAAAGCAGAACTACACTGCATCCAAGCACCACAAACCAAAAACGCTATTTAACCGCTTCCTGTCTGCCCTATAGCAGAAGTACTGCTACGGGTATGCAAAATCAAATGTGTGTGTGTGTGTGTGTGTGTGTGTGTGTGTGTGTGTGTGTATATATAATATATATAATTTTGCATTTCCGGGTAGGGGGCGCGCGCACTACTCCACTGCCATTCGCAACCTCGGCTGTCAATCACCGGGTCCCTGCCAGCGATTGCCAAGCATCTCTTGGGGGGGAGAGAACGGTTTGTAAACAAAACAGTTCTCTCCCCTGTCTGCTCCTGCACACTACTTTGAATGGCTAGCACAGCCATGCAAAGAAGTGTGCTTACCGTGAAGCACACACACTGCTCAGTATGCAAAACAGCACACAGTTAACAATTTGATCGCCCCAGATGTTAACCCCTTCCTGTCCAGTGTCATTAGTACAGTGTCAGTGCTTTTCATTAGCACTGATCAATGTATTGGTGTCATTGGTGATGTCAGAATGCCCACCGCAGTCCCGCTATAAGTCGCTGATCACTACCATTAATAGTAGAAGAAAAAAAAATCCCGCCATTTTTAAACGCTATAACTTTCACTTAAACCAATTAATTTACACGTATTGGGATTTATTTTTAGCAAAGACATGTAGCAGAATACATTTTGGCTTAAATGTATGACAAAAGTTTGATTTTTTAAAAACTTTTTTACTAGACATGTTTAATAGCAAAAAGTCAAAAATATTGTTTTTTTTTTCTCAAAATTGTCTTTTTTTAAATTTTTTTTATTTAAATAGAGCAATGAATTAAAAACGCACAGGAGATCACATACCACCAAAAGAAAGCTCTATTCATGGGAAAAAAAGGACATAAATTTCATTTGGGTGCAGCATTGCAGGACTTCACAGCATTGCATGACTGCTCAATTGTCAGTTAAAGTAACGCAGCCCCGTAATGAAAAAATGGCTTGGTGAGGAAGGGGAGGGGGGGGGGGGGGGGGGTAAATCCTCTGGAGGGCAAGTGGTTAATAATTTTTAATATTCAAAACAAACCCATCCATCCATGTCTCCATGC